ACAATTAAACTACTCTTCTTTTAACACTGTTTAAGACTAGGTGCTCAACTGCTACTTCAGCATAGTGAAAAATTCTTCTGCAGAATGCAAGCAAAAAAAAACAAATCAAAATTTTTGCACAGTTTCTATTCTTTCAAGACTTCAGTGCAATATAGGATTTGATACGGTCTTTTCTTAGCATCAAGAAACAGTGGCAGGTGCTGTGCATAAAATATATAGTACATGTCATCTATAACATACCATATGAAGGCACACTGCTAAAGCCTGAAGATGGAAACAAATTCCCAATCATTTTTACAGAATGCATTTCTGGTTTTAATCAAAATTGCATTTTGAACACCATCTTCCAAGCACATGTTCTTCCAGTAGCACACACACACGTCTATCTAAATACTCATGCTCACTCAAAGATGTTTACTTGTGTCTCAAAAAAGCATATACAAGTGTTTGAAGCTTTAAGTTCTTTTTTTTTTAACCATACCTTCTGTTTTATGTGCTTAGTAAAGTGGTATGTTGGGGAATAATTTCAGATACTTAGCAGTTGTTAAATGAATGTTGCTTCAAACCTGACAGGAATACTAGCAATTTTATTGGTTTAAATCACATCAAGCAGCTGTGATAAAAAGTGCAGTATATGTATTAGTATTCCATACGTTAAAATACTAATGGCATTGTGCTGAAGCATACTTCAGAACTCACAGAAGGCAAAAAGATTGAATTCAGTTTCAAAAGGGGAAGCATTCCTACTGTACCTGAATGAAACTGCAAAGAGAGAGTCTGAAATTTATCTCTAACAACATGCTGTTGCTATTTACACCAGAATAAATATATTAAGCTTACTGTTTGCATAGCATGACAATAAGCCTAATTAAGTACCTCTTATTGCAGCTGAACTTGAAAAGTACAAAAATACTCACTATAAAAGAAGGAACACCGAATAGAAAATAAGCTCACAGGTACAGCCAAAGAGAGAAAAAGGTCAGCATTTGCCAATTGCTACTGTGGAGTTTCCACAGCTACCAGGAATTCTCTTTTCTTCTAATCCAAAGGAAATCTGAGGGAACCTCAGATACCACTGTGTGGTAACTGCTGGCAAACATTACAGATTTTATCTCAACCACTGGCATATTAACTGCTTGCATTTCAACATCAATTTTTCATTCAACTTTTTATTTTTTAACTCATTCTTATAAAGTACAAGCTAATGCATAGATTAAGAAATAAACAGGACACATTTGAACATGCCATACCTACTTTATATAAAGAAGTTTAGGGATAGACACCAAATATGTATTACCATGTCATGAATAATTTTTTTAGTCTTTAAACCTGGTCACTGAAAAGAAGAATGTATTCCAGATGCAGTAAGTTGGAATAGAACCTGGAATATGTTTTAATGAACACTAAGGGAGTCCAATACATTTTAACAGCTATTTAATGAATTCCTATTCCAAACAAGTCAACTTCAGGTGAGGCCTCTTGCCTGCAGGTACTCTTCAGCTTCACAAATTGCCATGTAAGAAGGCAGGTCCAAGCACAGTCACCTGCTTTGGCTTCCCATGCAAAATAAAATGCATTACTCCACGACATTCATGCTTTTTAAAACTAAAGTGCATATTTTAGAACAAGAACCAATCTTCTAAAAATGCTCAGGAATTAAAAATACACCACGAGGTTTCAATACACAGAGAAAGTGTATTGGATCAAACTGCCAAGACCTAATCTGAACATGCAGCTTCAGCAGCAAATTCAGTTAAAGCTGGAAAAAAAGAGCCTCATTCACAGAAAAACAACAATATGAAACAAATCTATCAGGACCAGTGTGCAATTATTTTCTACTCCACCCTAGTTACCTTTGTACAGAGGGACAAGTATGTTCTGAGTTTCTGACCTTAAGAATGCTTTATTTTAAGTTGGGATCCGATTATCATGATTGTCACATGTTTTTATGTGCTCCTATCTGATTGATACTCACCCTACAACACTTTTATCTTCCAGAATCGAAGAAAACTGCTCATCCAGAACAAGAAGGAACTAATGACTACAGTATTGCTTGTAGCTATAGTTTATCACTTCAAATTTTTGTTACATAGATAAATAGAAACTAGTTCAGATGTGGCAAAACAAATGCTAAGGTCGAAGGATTATTGTACTTGGCTCTGATTTTAACTATGAGCACATCAAGTACTGCAGTCCTAGCTGTTCTTCAAGTCTCTTCTCAAATATATGATTTCATCATCACAGAGCAATAACAGAGAATAAAAAAATGATTTTATGAAGTTCAGCTTATAATCAGTTGTGCATCTGATTCCATATTATCTCTGTTATTGTTACAATAATACAACTTAGAAGTAAACCTGACCTTGTGTTGCTAAAACCTTGCAAAACTTGCTGAATGGTCACAACAATCCATTGGAATATACAACACAGCGTATAATTGTTATTAAATACTGTCAAGACTCAGCTGCACAGAAACACGTACTGCACGATAAATATACTGACTAGGACCCATTGCAATATATGCTTAAGGAGAAGATTGTCTCTTGCAAAATGTTAGGAACCGTCAACACATACAATGCTGACACAGTGACTATTGTGTGGTGTCACGAAGGTGACGACTGTAACTGTCTGCCTTTGATTATAGAATGCCTTGATATGTTACATTAAGATAGTTGCTCCCAAAGACCTACTACTTCTGCTATATTCTCTGTAGTAAATCTGGTAGGTTCACAGATGTTTTGGTTTATCACTTAAATGTGTAAATCCATACACGTTTGGTGAAACGTTTCAGATTTCTTTTGCATAATTTTTTGTTAATTACAGACATCATACTTCATGATCATCTTGCCCAAATTGTTCTCCCTAATACCTCACTTAAAATCTCGGTTTAAAACCTTAAATTGTATTGATAAGATTGTAAATTTCACTGCTTGGTGAGAAAGGTACAAAGCCAGGCTGAAGTACAGTTTCCTAAATATATTGAGAGACTTCCAGTCCATGGCCCCTTGGCACTAGAAAGCCAAATGCATTTTTCCAAATTCACACTATTTATGAAATGGTAAAGGAAGAAAACAGCAAGCTGTTTCACTCAAACACTGCTAAAGAATGCCATTTCAGCATGCTTGTCCCAAGAAAGCCGGCCTTGGTGTTCCAGATTTACACCCACATTTTGAGGGTTATCATGTCACCCTGAGTATTTCTACATCTCATTACACTTCTAAACATGAAAGCAGGATAAGCATGTGGCTGCTGCTGCTGATATGCAAACTTCTTGGCACTATCCAGCAATACTTGCTAAAGTTCAGTAAAATGAATCACACTTTTTAGCATGCATGAAAGCAATCTCTCCTTGAGAAGCTAATACAGACACGTCCTATTTTTTTTGTGATACATCATGACTCGGAACACACTTTAGTTTGGGTTTAGTAATCTCAAAAACATTAACATATGAACTACCTTATCCACTTAAACATTAACATATTTATCACCAGTGAATGATGACTCCTTCAAAGCTAAGGACTCCTCAAGGAGGCCTCATAATCACAAGGTCACTATAAGCATCCTTTCTGAACAGGCAGGGCAGGGAGTACAGAGTGCTACTAACACAATGTTTTTCCCAGTCTTACTGGATCCCTCGTCACAATTCTCCTACTAGAAAGACTCTGGGTACTTGCATTACTCTTTTTTCAGTGCTCTTTCACGATCCCTGCCCTCTTTCTTCATACTGTTGTCTGTCCTCACTCATCTGCCAATGTCTGTCTCCATCTCTTTTTTCCATGTGCTATTATTCCCTTGAAAAATTGCTTTATTGACTCCTAATAATTCTTGTTTCTCCTTCTCTCTCTCTCACCACAAAGCTGACAAGAAATCACTGAGAAGGAACTGAAATTAATGGTAAACTCTGATCCAATATATCTGGAGAGCAGAAAAGACAATATTACAGACGTTAAAAAAAAATTTCCTCTATTTACTGTACATGCAAATATCTACATCATGGTAAGAAAATTATTCAACTAGGCACATAGTGAAATAGACTCCTAGCACCAATTTATATTTCACAACATATAAACAAATATGGTTTTTTGCAAGTGAATAATAATCAGTAGTTATTCCTAGAAATTATATATTCAGCGTTTTGTTAGGTTATGCTGAGGACTGGAAACAGCACTGGTGAGGCTGCTTTCTGCTGACACTAAATAAGCACTCAGTAAGGGTAAGCTAATCATCATCCAAAATACAGACTATATGTAAGGCCAATCAAGAATCTGAATTACAGAGATTATAGATGGTTCCCTGGAGTCTAAACATAAACTGATTCTAGGGTTCACTGGCTAGATTGTTACCCCACATGATTACATATGTGTGAGACTGACTTGCAATGACCCTAAGAAAAACAGCACGAAAAACATGGCTTTCGGGGTTGAATGCTCACTGCTAGAATCTGTGAACAGAGAAACTGTTACGTGTTTTATTCCTACTGTATTCATGGAAACAAGGCTGTGGGTCTGTTTTCTGTTAGTAATGAAACAAGCAACTGCCTTAAAAAATACCCAGCTCTTCTCAGTTCCTCATGGTAACATTATGCAAGATCCTGAAAATTCCTCAAGTCAAAAAGGAGTAACACGATGCAAGAATATTTCAGGATAAATCATGCCGTTTATTCTGCAGCACTTTTCCCACAGGTGTCCTTCATACAGGTACTGATGGTACTTAAGTTTAGCTTTATTAAGGTCTACCATGTCAGTTTTGCAGTCTACAATAAAAGTTTACAAATTTAGAAAGTAAAATTTTGTTTAATCCTATCTGTTGGTACACATCAAAGTAAAGAAAACCTCTCCTTTCTCTCTAGGTGGAAAGATGGAGCAGTCATTCATTCACACAGACTAATTAAAAAAGCACACCATTAACTAGGAAAAACAAAGGCAGAATTACAACTTCCCTATATTTTCATGAGTAATAGAGAGGCTTCCACTGGTAAGAGAGACAGAATTCAGACTTACTGTGCATTTGTTCGGCTTTTCTCCTGAGTGGACTCTCATGTGAATCAGCAGTTTATAACGGGCATTAAATGGCTTGTACCTTCGTGGGCACCCTGCCCAGAAGCAAGTGAAGTCCTCTCCCTTCCTCTGGTCTATATGGATCTTCTCTATGTGCCGCACAAGTTCCTCTTGCTGGTCATACAGCGCACCGCAGTCAACCCAGCGACAGCCATGCTTGCCGTTGAAATCATCTAGCTCACCATCTTCGTCAAGAAGGGAGCCTGGGGCAGATGGAGGCACAGGCAGCGCGTGAATGCGGCTGGGGAGGCTGTGTGGATGCCGGTGCTGGTGAGCATGGTATGGTGGGGGTGGCCCTTGTGGAGAAGGCAGAGGCAGCAGGGGTGGAGGAGGCATATTGACCATACGGCCCGAGAAGTCATCCAGACGTTCATTTTTGAGGATGCTCACTGCCTGGTTGTCCATCAGCGGCACGCCCTGCTGGATCACCATGTTACTTGTGGTGGCCATCTGCAAGCTGGCTTGCTCCAGCTGCTGCATCCGCTGGCACTCACCAGCCCCATTCTCAACATACCCTGGAAAGGTGACACTGCCATTAGCCATGAGAAGACCTTTCTGGGCAGTTGGAATAGAGCAATTTTGTGGTATACAGCTTCCTCTTACTCCCAGAAAATGTCCATAGACCTCAGGCTGCGGGGATACATTTGCTGGTGATGTTCTGGAGCTGTTAATATAGGCCACCAGAGAGGTTGGGGATGTACGAATGATTGTATTGAAGTCGATCCCAATGCCGTCAGACAGAGGAGACAGAGAGAGTGCTCTCTTTTTGGAGCGGGCTGATTGAGACCGGGCTGAGGAATGGTGAGGACTAGAGTAAGGGGAATGCTTATTTTCCATGCCATGTAAGCAGGACGGTAACGAGTTAGAGATGCAGTTACTGGATACAGATGTTCCAGGTGAAAAATTTAGTAAGTCCCCCAGTTCACTGCCGTTTTGTAAACCTTGGTCAGGAGGAAGAGAAGGAAGTGTCCTGTACCCATGCGACCACTCTTCCTTAACACTCAAGGTGGACTGACTTTCTGACAAGCTTAACGTCGTAGAGGCCAGAGACTCACATGGCAAGAGTGACCTGGAATAGAGGCACAATAAAGTAAGTAAGCTGTAAGACAATGCAGCAGCGGTTCCATCTTCACACACGCATAAAATTACAGGAAGGCTGCATGTGAGAGAAATTCTCCCTAATTTTAGGTACTCAACTCTCAGTTAACGTACCAGCAGGCATACACAGGCAATACATATGTGACAAGGTCACTGAAGAAACCAACTTCAACACTGCAAAATTTTGAAGAGAAGTTGCTGTAAAGGTGTAAAATGCTGTAAATACATCACTGCAGAAACCAATGCACAGTTTTTCATTAGCTGTGGTGTAAATAGGTTTGGGCTTCTAAAGCCAAAGCATTATGCTCCTGCCTTGTACGAAACTCACATTGATTTGAGCTGACTATTATTTTTGCCGGCAAAGAACAGGAAGAAAACTTATTAATAAAGAATAAATATTTAACCTGAATAACTTTTCCAATTGTAATGCATACAAATAGTATTCTCTACAGAAATAGCCGTTTATAAATACAGATAATATCTAACTTCACAAAACAAATAAAATAAATGAATAATGTAGAAGAACTGGTTGAATGGGTTTATTTAGTTTTCATTTGATGATGTATCTGCCTCCAAGTCAGCAATGGATTTTTTTCATGAAAGCATAATCTTGCTATTATCATTGGTTTTTCACAGAAATATTATGAAACTTGTTTATGCTGTGAATGTCTTACGAGTAGCTTAATAAAAGAACTCATAAGCTCTTAACAATATTGTTTTCTACAGAAAGGTATAAAAAGGAAATACAAGGACATCAGGGTCCCAAATTCATTGCTGCAAATGCTAGGTAGAGGCCAAGTGGATTTATGTCTTTAAGTTTCCAGTTCACATCTTGGCAGACTTGGATTTCCTACCAGTCTGTGGTGCTACCAGTATATTAATTTCTTTTTTTAAGGGGTTGTAAAAGCAGGAAGAAGTAGGTATGTATCTAGATCTGGAGATCTCACAGAGACACAGAAGCCTCTGCTTCTTATGTTTTGGGTGTTAACTCCTGGGTTTATTATTTTCACAGTACACTTCTGAAAAAGCATAGAATTTCAATGGTGGACCAAGTACATAAGAAATCTGGTTTCTTCTAAATCTAAAATGCATTTTTGAAGTTCAACAAGTCAATCACTGCTTCTCAGCTTCTCACATGAAAAATGAGATACACAGTAGCCCCTCCTATCATACAAACACTTCAGGAGGTCAAATTAACTTAAAAAAGGCAGCTAGTAAGTGCTAATAGGTACCTTAAATACTAGATGTTGAAATATATTTCTTAAAGCTCTAAGTAAACAGTATATGAAATATTTCCATGCAATAATCCAAAGGAACAGTAATGTAGGCAATGAATAATGTATTCTTATTTACAAAGGTAAGTTCCAGTTATTTATAATTATTTTACTGCATGGTTTTCTATTGCTACAAACTTCAAATTTATAAAGAAGAAAGTATACACCATAAAGAAAATTAATAAAAACAAATATAATATCCTCCTTAATACAGACACTGTTACAGCAAACACCTTTGAGGAGGCACTTCTATTTTACTTGCCCCCTCCCTTTTTTTTTTTTAATAGGGAAGCAAGTTTTGATGTCCACTCAGGGTAAGCAATATTGCAGTTGCTTCTGAGTTCTACAAGATGTTCTTATAGACACTGCTTCAGGAAACAAGGATCCATGGGAGAGATCTCTTAAGGCTCATAGTTGCATCATATGTCTGCACCACAGCTCTACTGCCGTGATGGCAGCTCCAGAGGAGATACATGAAACTACTAAACTTAAGAATTACTGGTAGGCTAAAACTGGGGATCTGAATCCCATTTAAAACAACATCAGTCAATCAAAGAGAGCAAGGACAGATCCTAAACAATAGCTCTGGAGATGGTCCTAGTGAATGTGACAATATTTACCAAACTTCCATGGTTTTCCTTGGTAAATCAACTTTTCACCTCTGAGACCTGTGGATTATCTTTCAATTCGATCAGCAAGGTTGAAAAAATATACACATTTCTGTTGCCTGAATAACTTTACATAGTGTTTTCATATACTCTTTCAACATACTACACTCAGTTCTAGCCACAAAGGTTAAAGGTGAAAAATCACACACTTTGTTATCTTATTCTGCCCACCGTAACAGCACTCCACGACTGACAGGCTTTTTCCTACTACTTAATATTACAGCATTTTCCATCATGTGAAAGTCAAACATGAAGAAAGAAAAGTCGGTCTGCAGTGACTTTGGTTGGATCGTGCTGCGAGAACGGAGCCCAGTCATTGCCAAAGAGCTGGAGGAGGGGAACTGGTGCTCCGGGCACCGCGGCTGTCCCCTCAGTCCGTGTTTGTCTAGAGGGGAAGCTTGGCACAGGCTGAATGAGAGAGGAAGCAGTTTGCAGGTGCTACGTCTGTGCACTGAAATAGCTCGCAAACAGCAAAATGTAGCTTTAAATATCACCCAGCCTTGCTGTGGTGATCTATGGGATAAATGGATAAATGCTCCTTTGCTCAACATACTTGCTTTGCAATGGATGGTTGATTTGCTGTATCAGAATAAGAAACATCCTCTTCAGATTGAATGTCAATATAGTGTATTCTTATGGAGGTTACGTTACTCCATCAGGGTTTAAATGGCACTTTCAAAACAGAGAGCTGAAGAAAAGCACAATTAACGTGCTGACTACAATTTGCATTGAGAAAAATTAGAAAAATGGGATTGCTATATCAGGTCAATCTTATATAAAATTTAGATCTAAAGGGATAGTTATTTGTGGGGAAAAAAGTGATTCAGGCTGTGGGCTCTGTTATCACTGTTATGAACTGTTAAAGCACAGTTCATTATAGGGCAGTTAAATCATGTTAGTATGCTGTGAACACAAATACAGATCCATAGTCTTCAACAGAGCAAGAAAATTAAGTAAGGTTTGATTTTTCCATGCTAGGTTATATATATTTATATACAGAAAATATAAATAGGGTGCTTTTTTGCCAGCTTGATTATTTCAGTTTTTATTTTCTCTTTTATAAGTAGGGAAAAAACCACCATGCGTCAATATAACAAGTTTATTTTTGTAATGTCAAGAATTCTAATCAGATGCATAGTAGGACCAGTGTCAGTCAAAATGCTACTAATGCCTAACACAAAGGGATATATGCATCAGTGAAGCTGAAGAAAAACTGTAAAAGTCTCCTAACAGGACAAAAATAAAAAGTTGTCCCAGAACTTCAAGTGTACAATAAGTAACAGCCAGATAATCTGACGAAGTTTAGTTCTTACTTAACACCCAACATTCAAAAGTAACAAACAGCTCCCAAAACAAAGAAAATTTCTTTAAAATGCAGCCCACACTATGACTAAGTAATTTTCTGGGGGAAAATAAATATACCTAATATGAAAATGAAGGGCCAGCTATACCACTGTGCCAGATTCTCAGATGGTATTAATTGGTGTGTCTGCTTATTGTAATCTAAACCAGCTTGAGCTGGACCAGATCTTTTATGAACATTATGAACAGGTGATAGCCCACCTGGAGTCCTGCATCCAGCTCTGGAGCCCTCAGCACAGGAAAGACATGGACCTGTTGGAGCGGGTCCAGGGGAGGGACACAGAAATGATCAGTGGGATGGAACACCTCTCCTGTGAGGACAGGCTGAGAGAGTTGGGGTTGTTCAACCTGGAGAAGAGAAGGCTCTGGGGAGACCTTACTGCAGCCTTCCAGTACTTAAAGGGGGCTGATAAGAAAGATGGGGACAGACTTTTTAGCAGGGCCTGTTGCGATAGGACAAGGGGTAATGGTTTTAAACTAAAGAAGGGCAGATTTCAACTAGATATAAGGATTTTTTTCCCAATGAGGGTGGTCAAACTCTGGAACAGGTTGTTCAGGCGGGTGGTAGATGCCCCATCCCTGGAAACCTTCAAGGTCAGGCTGGACGGGGCTCTGAGCAACCTGCTCTAGTTGAAGATGTCCCTGCTCTTTGCAGGGGGGTTGGACTAGATGACCTTTAAAGGTCCCTGTCAACCAGAAGATTCTATGATTCTATGATTTACAAGAGATTCCTGCAATTTCTTTCTAGTCTCTCTCTGTGTACAGAGGCCACAGTGTCAAGTACAACCCAGAATCTTAAACATACATATGGAAGAGTAAAAACTATGTTTTCTCATCTTTTTGCATGGTCTTCTGTTTTAGTAGGCAAGAACCCTTTGCTCTTTCCTAGGTCCTTTTCAACTTGCATCAAAGTAAATGGCAGTATTACATCTGGTTTCAAGCAGCATAACTGAATACTCTGAAAATGTTTTTGGGAAACTCTCAAAAAAGATGGGCAAGGTTTTATCCCTCATGGTCTATATACCAAAATCTGATGTTATCTGTAGTAGAACTCCCATTTTGCCAACTTTTTTCTTTATTCCACCAGTAAAAGTCAAGACAGGTTGTTTCAGTTTGGATCAACTCAGCAAATAATCTGGTTTGGATTGAGCTTCTAGACCACAATTCATGACGCCTAAGAGATACAGGCCAGAAATGGCACTCAGCCCATGAAGGATTCTGGAGTCAGCTTAGGCAACCAGTTTAGGCAAATGCAGTTTATTGCTGAAGGAATTAAAAGAAAAAAAAAGAAAAGTCTTTCAACAACCTGTGAAATAAAATCTGACTTTAAACTTGTTTTGCCCTATAAAATAGTCAATTTGAGGGCAAAATTGCTGAAATGGTCATTCTTTGTGTGACAAACTGATTTTAAAACATCTTCATTGATAAATCATTAAAAGACAGGGACACTAGAGCCTCGATTCTGCCAGAGTTTCAACTTCAGTTCACCCTTAGTAAATGTTTATTTAAAATAAAAACAAAAATGTGTAACTTGGTATTGACATAGTACACCCAACCACACATTCAGATAAAAATAACAGTGTTTGGAACCATACAGGCAGACTTAAAACTTACTAAGTAAGTAATAATTACTTAATGATATTTTTATATCATCAGTTTTGTTCTGTCTCAAAGGCATACCTCTTTTGTCATTTGTCATCATCTTAGCACTGAATGGTTTTCCCTGACACGTTTACATAGGAAGCGTAATTTTGTAAAGTGTCCCAGGGGACTCAGTCTTCACAACTGAAGTGACAGAAATGTCACAAACTATAGTAGAGTAAAGCAAGGTTTTCTTCCAGTTATATAATACCAATTTTAATTATTTCATAAATGTTCCTTGGCTTGTAATTAAAGTGGTATAGTACAAGGTACACTGTTTTGAGAATAAAGACTTTGTGGCCCTTCATAAATAAGAACAGTTACATTTCAACTCAGTAGGCAACTGTTATATGAGTCACATCTACAAAAGTGGGAACAAAGCTTCTGAAGTAACACATCAGAATGTTTTCTCACTGTATGTTTAACTAATATCCAGGGATCTGATTAATGTGTTTGTATGGAGGTTGTCAAATAATTATTTTCCCTTCATTCTTGTTTGTCAACAGTACTCATAGCCATAATCTCAAAAGTTATTTAAGGATTTTAAAACAAATATTTATCTGTGGTTTGGTGATATAAAAAGGCAATATTTACAGGGAGAGGCCATAATTTTTATTAAACTACCCACCAAAGCTAGGAAAATGGACAAGTTTTCAGGGACACGAGTCTAACACAGATGAAGTTAACTGCTGTCTCAGTGCAGACTGGGAACAATTGATCTGATTAACTTAATAATGTAAACAATTAAACAATTTGAAAGCAAAGATATTTGATGAGGAGAGAGGAACCTTAGCAGGGCATTTAAGTTTATTTTGTCTGACATTAGTGTTACAAGCACCAACAACACTCATAAGCAACATGGTAAACTTAAAACAGGTCACTGAAGATGTAACATGTGGACAATTTCTGCTTTCATCCTCCACAACATTTCCTGGTTTTAGAACAAAAATATAGCTAAGAGACTGTAAAAATCTTTATCTAACAAAAAAGCCCTATCAAACATAGAAAATGTGTTGTCACGTTTCACCCATGATTTGAATGATCCAAACAGCATGATCATAGCTGATGTGAATTAAATTGCATTGACTTAAATTTCCTGTGGCATAACAGAGCATCATTTAGGCCATTTTAATCATTAGAAAATTTATAATTTAAATTATAGGAGAATTAACATACCCTCTTTTTAAAGTACTGAATATAAAAAAATAACTCAAGACCTTGTATCTGTTGGAGAAGCACTCAGGCTGGTAGCATCCGTAGACCTCTGTAAGTTAGGGCTGATCTGGTTGCATGCTGTTGAAAACTGATTAGCAGGAGGTGAAACAGGTCCCAGCTGCTGAACTGTCATGGGACTGCTGGTGACTATTACATTGTGGCAGCTGCCTTTTCCAATGGACTTGCACTGGAGTCCATAACCAAGACCTCCTAAAAATAAACAAGGCGGGTTAGTATTAATCTCCCATGAACCCGTGATGAGGCCGCAGAACTCACATCACTTTGCAAAGTCGGAAAAGTGACTGGAACTGAGTATCTCCAGCTGAGGATGGGGACCAATACAAGAATTCTCCAAACACAAAAAGCAATATTCTAAAGGGGAATTCATAAATTATGCAGGTTTAAAACATGTGCTGAAGTACATAAACTAAAGACCAGGCATCATGGATAAACATCAGAAAAAACATCACTGGAAGAGTCCGGGTCAAAGAGCAGCCCTCAGCTGAGGGACAGCCAAGTCATAAGTATGCTGTTCTCTGAGGAAGGAGGGAAGAGAGGACCCAAGGAGGCTGCAGGACCACCACCAAACCCCACAGGTCCCAGCCATTGAAAGCCCTTCCGTCATTCCCACCACTGAAGAAAGCAAAGGGACGGCACGCACGCAACGTAGATGGTGACCCCTGCAACAGGTCTGGTGTGGCAACGTGCACTGGCTGCACAGCATCCCTGCAGGAGAGGGTTACAGCTGGAACCCGGCACCCCTCAGAGGTCTGGGGAGAGGACTTTGAGCTGGATCAAGCAGAGAAGCATTCTGGACTTCCTCTAAAAGGCCACAATCTGCTCTTAATCACTGCCGCCATGACCCAGACTGATGGCTATTACACAGTAGCACGAGGTGATTACAGAGGTAGCTGGCAAGGGGGACAAGTCTGCAAAATGCTGTGTACTTTGTGTTCCGATTTAGGCCACAGATGGTGGTTTACAAGATCCCCTGCATTAACATACGTCAAGGTGAAAAAGTTAAAATGTAGGTTTGGAAGTTGTTGGATATCCAGCAAATTCTCATCACAGTTGGAAACTAATAATTAGACGATTCACATTTCTAGCTGCTTCCCCGTGTTCAGGCTACTCCCCAAAGCAGAATAGCAATATCAGGACAAATAGTGAAAAGTACTTGAATTTAAACCGTTTCTAAATCACATCTACTTTTGACTTGGTTGTACTCGCATACTCACATACTAGTTTTTCTCAAGAATGTTCAAGCGGGTTGTGAACTTCACAAAGAAGTACATTAAGGCAATTATGGCCCTCACAGTCAAAGGAAGAACACCCAAATCCTTCAATCTGCTCCAGATCAAATACGATTATCTTAAAAGTTTGCAATTCACCCTAGGAATTTCAAATTATAGCTTCTCTCTTTTTTTTTTTTTTTTTTTTTTTTTTTTTAGAAAGAGTAGATAGCAAATAGATATGCTTATTCCTGTTTCACAGGTCTGTGCCTTCTTTTCAAATTATTCTTCTTCTCTTTGCCTAATTAGTAATATCGCACAAATATATGAGTAGCACATAGATTCTAAGTCCACTGGGATCCTAACTGTAAATTCATGTACAGATGTTATAAATTGACTCCTTGGGATGAAATATGGCAGCCCTTTAAGAAAAACAACTTACTTGTTGCTACTACTTCAAAACATAAATGAAGAATATAGCAACTGACTCTGAAAACTCAAGTGTAAGGTAAGAAGAAAACATTTAATAACCCATCCTGAAATTTAGCTAGAAGGACTGGAAATTTCTGAGCACAAACATGTAAGGAGAATTCCTTGTACTGCACTCAACTCCACTGTGGTTACCAGGAAAAAAAAAACTTTTAAGCTTTGTAGGATTACTGTCTGCTCTCACCAATGATGTCCCATTAAATCAAAAGAATAAGAGAAGGCATTTTATTTTCTTTCCTGTGAAGTAATCTGTATTTTGAACTCACTAAAGCTGAACCAGTGTGCTACTCAGCAGTTGCTTTTATAATGTTACAGAGCGATAAAATGGAATCAGCATGAAAAAATTAGGCAAAAAAGCTAAGTTGCCCTGGTAATAATATGAACGCTACTCCTCTTAGCAAAAGGCTGGCTGAGGTGAAGTTAAAAATTTACATGACACATTCACATCAGATAAAATACATTACACTACAAAACATGCCTATATGTGTGTGTATATTACATATGTTCAGTCAGCTGTTTTTTAGAAAAGTGCCTTTTAGTATGTAGAACGAAAGGCTTTCTGCACCAAACTATAAAAGAGACAGGGAACCATGCTATAATAACATAAGAAATCCAACTGGTTTTGACACTGACACACAGTTGTAATGCTTGTAGAGCCTATACATATTGACTACCTAATAAGATGTAAACCAAGTATTTAGCATGGAGAAGAGCAGCTCTACCACAAAAATGTACCAAACATATACTGATCCTTCCCTGGATGACACCATAATGCCCTTCCCTCATGAACCACTTTCAACAAATTTCAATGGTAACAATAACATCTGCTTTATCATATCCAGGAAATCAAGGGCTGTGCATTTGTAAGATTTTAATTTAGGGACAGGTAATATGTCAGTTCAAATAACAATCTCCAACCTTACAGTGAAATTGCTATTTATACATGATTATACTGAGCTTCTTGGAATTTACATGTCAGAAAAAGAAAATCGCGAAATGCAAAACCAGAAAAGGGAGTAGTGTCAAACCAGTACTGTTAAATACAGAATGTTGCATCCTCAATACATCCTTTTCAATTACAGGGTCTGCTCTTATTATCCGTGCATAAACAGCACCTCAGTGATGCTGAGAACAAGTAAGAGAATGTATTGTGTAAGGATAAGAATGAAGGACAAAGATGGTCTGCTCACTGGTCACTGAAAGGAAAAAATTAGAAAAGGAGTACTTTGGAGAGATTGTATTACTGGGATGACAGACAAAAGTCATGCAAGACTCTGGTCCCAATAAACATTTGCCTGGGCATTTCTCTGATGCAGAAGTGGAAGGAAATTTTTGTTTTTTCTTTCTGTCATTCATTAACATTTGTTGTTATGTGGAAAAATGGCAATTCTTCCATTGAAAGGCCTGGGAAGGTGCAGGGGGAGATTATCAAGAAAGAATCTGTCATCAGCTCCCACTGTTGAAAGAGACTGCGAAGTTAAAGACTACTGCTATGAAAAGCAAAGCCATAACATTTATCCACTCTTTCATACAGGTGTAAATGTGCCAAAAGACCATCATCAATACCTCTTCTGTTCCCTGCAGGTCACTGAGCAGTATTAATTTGATCTGAATCAGGCGTGAGCACACAACCACATGTCTGTTGAGCTAAGTCAAGAGCACAAGATAAGAAGCTTACGCTAACTTTGAGCCAGCTGCAGGAGTCCAGACTACATCTGATCTAGCATAAAGTTAAATAGGTGGAACATGGACATCTGAGCATGCTGCTAAAACACAAGCTGTCAGAAAATGTTCAAAAGCACCGAATAAATGTGAACTGGCAGAACGACTATGTCCCACATCAGCATTTGGCACCATATACCCACAGTGTTAAGAGGAACACGCAGTCCAGGTTTGCTTGTATCACTGACCCAAGGCCTTAAAATTTCAGGACAGTGAAAGGACAACCAGGAATTCCTTAATGTCTTGAATCCACATCAGCTGAAATAAATGAGAACCTCTTTGGAGGACATCAGTGGGTTTTGAATGAGGATGTAGATTCTAAGAAAGATACATGGACTTAATGTTTTAAATGAGCAAGAGAAGCAACTTCTTTTCTTACCTATTAAGATATAAATAAGGAGATAGCCCAATAAAGGCAACAATAGTTGAGGAGGTGGAATCAGTCCTGAACTAGCTCACAGGAGGTAATATGATTGATTAGCATGTAATTTATTCCAAATAAACATATTATACATAAATCGAAACTCCTCTTTGTCAATAACTAACAGTAATAGTTAACAAGTAGAAACATTAAAAATATTTTATGGAAATATTTTAATCTATTCACTTCCTCATTCATTAGCTTGCCTATTTTCCCTCTTTATTCTCTGTAGTTGGTTAATAGCTAAGCTTCACTCATCCTTGACATGCAAAAATATTTCACTGCAATCTTCTGAAGAACATTCAAAGAATACAGGAAACTACAACTACTTTAATTTAGGTACACTGAATTTCAGATTATACTCTCTAAATTTATATCACTCATACTTTTTGGAGGCAGAGTCCAATATGAAATTATTTCCATTTAAACACATTTTCTTTCATCAGATATTGATTGAAAGCCAACCAATTTCTTTGTCTACTTTTCCAAGTCAAGAGTAGTAACTTGTTAATTCTCCCAAGTAACTCAGGTTATAAAAGAAAACTGCTTCCCCAAACATCTGAAATTGTAAACTATGATTCTTCTGTATAAATGATAACACAACAAAAACATATAACAGCACAACCGGTTTTAATTGTTTGGTGTTCTGAAACACACAACATACCAAATACAGAAAACCAGATGAAGCTCAATCATCTCTTAGATCAATAAATTCTGCAATAACTGAATTAATCAGTGTGAAAGAAAGCCTTTAAAATTAATTGAAAATCTGTCCTGTTGTTACTGTTACAATAACAGCTAGAAATAAAATTGCAACAAAGGAGCAAAAGTTAATTTCTCTAGGGGATTTTCTGTCTGTTGACGTACAGTAATTAAGAGCTTTGGAAACAGTCGGTTTTAATGTTTCCCTTGTAATTGGCTTTCAGTCTTGTTTGTGTGGATTCTCTATTCATCAAAATGAGGAGGAAAGAGCACACCCAAAAAAGCATGTTGTAAGACAATAAATAACAAAGAGGACAGAGACCAAAGCAATAAGTACAACTCTGTCAATGTATTCTTCACATAGATTAGATATAAGTGGCTAAGGCCTTTTCAAACCAAATTTGGTCTTTTTCCACAACAGTGACTCTTCTGGATGTTGCAGTTCTCAGCTACTACGTATAGCTTTGCTGTGTGTCGCTGTATCTGTGGGGTTGGTAGCACCCTAGTTGAGTTGGAGGGGCTTCGCAGTAGCTGCTGATGGAACAAACTCAAAGGTTTGCTTGGAAGACTTATTTCCAGATGGGAAATACCCCAATCCCTCTCTCCTTCGGGCTGCCAAACCTCTCAGGCTTCCCCTCCACCAGTTT